CTAGGGGACCTCGTGGCTCCTGAGGTCCAAGCACAGGCACAAGGATGGGGTTTCTCTGTGGCCACGTCTCTGGGACCCCTGAGGCTGCAGAAACATCCTGGGCATACCTGCGAGAGCCGAGGAGGAGAGCACCTGGTGCAGGCACTGCTCAAGAGGCAGATGTTAGCATGGTCCAGCCTAAATGCTGAGATGTGGGGCCTGATCCTCAGCCTGGCTCCTGCCCCTTCCTTCCCCACCGCCTGTACTGGGTGTTACAATCCAGTCTAAGGCAGGTTGCACAATTTATTTTCCTGTACTTAAAGCAGTATTTTGGCAGTCAGGGTCGGGAGGCCTCTCTGAGGAGCTCTGGCTGGGCGCCCTCCCGCTGTCACGGGATCAAGCTGCTGTCAAAGGCTCTGCTCCGCTGGGCGTCCTTCAGCGTGGCCTTCTGCCGCAGCTTCAGGGCTGGCGGAGGAAGTGGCCGGGCAGCCAAGACATCACTGACATCTTCAGCAAGTGTAGGTGGGAGTGATGGTCACCCCGCATGGGTGCTCTTGTGCCAGACTGAGGTGAGACCCATCATTTCCAGTTCCCGTGATGTGGCAGCTATAAGGAGGACTCATCCTCTTCTGACATCTGCCCATGCAGAAACACCCTCCTATCCTTAAAGCATCTTTTCTCAGTGGTCCCAGGCTCTTGTTACCTGCTGTCTCCATCAGCTGGCTTCCCTACAGCCAGCTAGTAAATTCATGTGGATAAAGGGAGAGCAGGAAAAACAGGAAAATTACTGTGATCACCACTGCAGGAACATGCGAAGGGATTTGTTGTTATGTTTGCTGATGGTGTAAGGGAGGGAAAGGATGCGAGCACTAATTCATGCTCTGCATGAGCACTATTAATGTCACCCATGGTGATTTAATTGCTTTGCGAGGAGAGTGGCGGGTGAGGCTGAGCATGCCCAGGGAGGGAGTATGAGATAGTTGGGAGTGATGAAAGTGTTCATGGCCAATAAAGGGCATGAGGGTGATGTGGCCAAAGCAGCTGGAGAAAAGTATCAGCTCTGCCCATGCGCTTGGCTGTGTTGTGCTCAGGCCGGAGGGTGGAGAGTTGGTAAACATGAAGCCTGGAGCATGGAGTAGCTGAGGTTGAAGGTACTTGGGATGGGTTTTCCAGGAGAAATGGTGAATAAAAAAGGAGCAGAAGATGGTGGTGAAGTTGGGAGTCTGGGGAGTGGGAAAAACTCATGGAGTTACCCATCTGCTGGAGCAGGGTGGGGAGGACTTGGAGGGGGTGTCCTGTTTTTGCCACGATGATCTCGAGTTGGCAGTGGGACATCCGGGAAGGTTTACGAGTGGGAGAGGCTGGGTGGAGACATCAGCCTGCGCGTCCTCAGAGGAGAGATGAGCTCACCAGGGAGAGGGTGTCAAGGGGGCCGAGGACAAGGACTGAGTGCCGAGCCTGTGGGGCTGCGACAGGGGCAAGGGCTGCAGTGGTGGGGAGAGGCTTAGCAGGATGTTCTTGGATGTATGGGGATGTAGGGGAGTGGGTGGGGGCCACTGGGGGAGGAGGATGTGAACGTCTTGCTCTGTCCACGATTGCGGAAGCGCTGGTTTTCCCCTGCACCTTGTTTCAGCATGAGGGTGAAACAGATTTTGTTTCTCTACTGTGCTGGGAGGGGGTGTGGGGGAGTGGACACAGTCCCTCACCTGGGGCTGAAGCTGGAGTTGGGAGGGGAAGGGATGGAGCTGGGAGGTTGTGAGGTGGGATCCTCCAAGGGAAAAAGAGGAGCCATTTGAAGCTTTTGGGAAGCTCAGGGCTTGTTTTCTCCCATCCTGCTATCCTATTTCTGCAGTAACAGTTAAACTTAAAAAACCCAGCCCTCAACCCCTGCCACCCATGGAGGCCAAAGTGAGAGAAGCCATTGGTTTTACCATGAACCCCGTGGAAAGGTGAGCACAAAACCAGAGAGCTACAACTAAAGAAAGGAGACAAGGCAGAGTCTTAGTGCAGCTGGACCCAGCAGCAGCCAGTGCTGAAGCGAGCAGCTCCAGGCTGTAGGGAATGTCATGAAAAGGATGCAGCTGAGTGCCCCTAGCTTGTGGAAGGACAAGGTACAACCGAAACGCACTGGCTGGGAGCAGCTTGGAGCATGCCAGGCATCTGGCACCATATCCCCTCATAACCCAGCACCCCGCAGCAAGGGACAGACGCAAGAGACAGCAGGTCCATGACTGCATCTACAGGCAGTTCTTGCCCCCTCCCAGTCCAAATGTACCTTGAAACTCCTGGCAAGATGCTTGCAGCAGCACATGTAGCAGCTGTGGCCCCTCGGCTGCAGGCAGGGGAGGAGAGCACTCTTTTAAGCAGATGAGTATCAGTGCCCTCTCAACAGGAGGAAGTCATAGACTTACTGAAATCTAAGATAAGCGGCCTCTTAAGCCAGCGGTGTGTCAAGTGGTTAAGGCAGAAGATTAGCGGGCAAGCTCTCCTTCCACTGATGGGAAAGCAGCGGGAATGCAGCCTGTGGTCCAGACACCAGCATCTCGTGAGGAGGGACCTGTGGAGGGACAAGGACGGCCTTAGCGTCCCTTTTGCACTGCCGAGAGGCGCCATGGGGCACCTCTCCTCCTAGCTAGGGACTCTGAGGAGGACACCAACAACCATTAGGTGTCTGCGGCACGTGCTGGTTTTACACAGCCCAGTGGAGCCTGATTGCTAGGAGAACATGACCCCAGTGCTCATTCAGCACAAACTCATTATTTAATAGGCAAAGTAAATATGAAAAAAAGGCATTTCCTGCCCTCCCTCTGGTGCTGAAATTTACAGTTGTGAGAAGAGCTGGAGCGCTGCGGAGCCGGGGTATCTCTGGGTGACATTTACAGGACTCAGCTTTCATCGCAGCTTGAAAAAAATCCTGTGCACAGAGATTATCTCCACACTGATCTGGATTGTCTTGTTCAGTTTTGGCCCTCATCCTAGATGGACAGTGAGCAGAAAACTTGGCTAGTGGCCTGCGGTCTGTGACCTCCTCTGTGTGAGCTGGGAAGAGGAGGAACAGTCTCCGAGGTACTTGAGATCTTGCAGCCTTGGGGGGCTAAAGAGATGGAGCAGGGGGTGAAGCTTAGATCCCCGTGTGAGGATTTGATGCTGCACCCTTGACCAACCATTGAGAGAGGCAATCCCTGCTGTGGTGAGGAGATCTCTGCTTTGCACTGAAGTGGATAAACCCATGGTGGCTCCACCTCAGGGTCTCCCCGGGGTGTCAGTCCCCCTGGCACCCTTTGCTGAAGGGTTTTGGAGCTGGGGCTGAGCAGGCAGGAGGGATGCAGCCAAGGCCTATTGGGGAGATGCCTCTGCAACCCTCCCTTGCCCTGCACTGCTTCAAGTCAGTTGTCAGCAGCCTTCCAGCCGGACGGTGTCTGGAGACCTTCCAGCGACCACAGACTCTCCCCCAGACCATCACTGCCACAGCACAGACAGGGATTTAACATACGTCTGCACGTTCCCCCAATCTTTCCCCTCTTAAGATGAAGCAAAGAAGAAAAACAAGACTGCAGGTTTGCAAGGACCCCCTCCTCCAACCTAGAGGGTGATGGTCACAGCTCTGGGCTTTTCTGGACCATGTAAGGAGCTCCCAGCTCACACAGGAGGGCTCAGCAATGCCACCCCATGCTGAATCCTCGCCGCAGCACAGGCAGATGTTCCTGTTGGCTTGAGGTGTCATTTCGAGGTTTTTCTCTGCTCCCCTTTTGCTTCTCAACTTGCAGACAAGTGGGTGAGGGAGATTGGAACTGGTTTGCTTTCCACCTCCCCTCACAGTGCCCCTCTGCTTATTAGTTCTCCAAATATTTCGTCCTGCAGCCCGGCAGCAAGGACTCTGCACTAACCCGATCCCAGGCAGAGGGGAAGCCGGAGCGGGTAGGACAGCGTGTTATCCTCATGGCATCGCTCCAGGCCAGCCTGTGGGGAGCGAGACGGGGCAGCTGGGGCCCTGCTGCGCTAAATCCCAGTGGTCGGGGCACAGACGGCAGCAGCCCTCCAGCTCAGCCCTCCTCTCATGCTTCCCGAGGGCAAGACAGCGATAGCGGCAGAGCATGAGCATTGCCTTTCCCCCCAGCAGCATCTTTTCCCCACTCCTGACAATTGCTCCACTTTCTACTTTTTGCTTTTCTCAGGACAGTGATGGTCCCTAGAGCCCTCAGGAGAACAGGCATGTGGAGGAAGAAGAGGAGACCTGGTTGTGGGATGCTGGTGAAGGACAATTATGGGACAGAGGAAAAGAAATCCCCTGGGATTTCCTCCCATCAGTTCTCAGCTCCATTAAGAGTCATTAGATTGCAGGTACCATGGTCCCTCTGGACCCTCTTCACAGTTTCCAGTTGAACAAGATGCTGGAGAAGTGTAGGGGGAAGAGGGCAAGGGGAAGGGGAGCATGGTGGGACCATTGTGTCCTCTGACAGCCCTGAAGCTGCTGAGGAGCTTCTGTAAACCAGAGTGGACACAGGAGCTGCTCCTAAATCCATCCAACACCCAGGAGGCCACTGAGCATCCCACAACAAGGGGATGCAGGAATGTCCCGCATCCCCCTCACATACTGATCACCCTGGCTGGGCTCTCCCTGCATTGAGCTTAACTCCCAGGGAAGGTGCCACCCCGTCACCATCTGCCCATCCTCTGCGATGCACCTGCCTGCAGATGCTGGCTGCGCTCCATCCCCTCCCATGGCTCAGCCAGGCAAGCAGTGTTCTGGGATGCTCAGCACATGCCTTAAATAAAAATAACTGTGATAGAAGATACTGGGTGCCTAATGCTAGCCGTGGCTTAAACACCTCCCATTTGCAATGCTCCAGAGTCAGCGGGAGCTTGTCCGATGAGAGCAGGCATCACGCAGGTCCCCAGCCAGCTGCTGAGAGCAGACATGTCCCTGCTGGCACAGGACACTGAGGGGCTCTGGCTGCAGCCATAAATAAAGCAAGCAAACCAAACCAAAGAAAAAAAAGCCAACAATGATGAATTTTTTAAAACTTTAAATATTTTTTTTTCTTTAAAATCTGTTTTCCTCTGGGGGTCTGTCTCTGTAAAGAGCTGCGCTCTCCCTGCAGCATCTGGGTTACTTCCTCAGTCCTGGCCGTGGGGCAAGGGAGAAGCAGGATCAGTTAGAGAGGGGAGGGATGGGCGCTTCCCTCCATGCATCACCGGCACGTATGGATTTCCACCACCCGATGACAGGGTTTGCACTTGACGGAGCAGCACCAGTGGAATTTGCAGCTGCATCTTTCCACAACCTCCACTTCGTCCGTATGAAAGCCCCGGCCGCAGCACATCAGCTCACAGCCATCGATGGCCTTGGAGGTCTTGTTGCACTGCCGCCCACTGGTGCCCAGAACCCCGTTCTTGAGGTCATGGTCACAGAAGTCGGGACTGGAGTCCAGGTAGACGAGGTCCTCGTCCGTGTGCGGCTTGAACTGGGAGTTTTTGGGCACCAGCACTTTGGTGGATCCGATCTCGCTCTGCTCAACCTCCGTGGCACCGTCGAATTTCTCCTTCAGGACGTTGCCCACTTTGCGGAAGGGGGGCATGGCTTTCCAGCACGTCTTGAACTCGCACGAGCCTGACACGCCGTGACACTTGCACTCCACCCGCATGTTGTTCAGGATGGCCTAGAGGAACAGACAGAAGAAACAAGGTGGGACGGTCAGCTGGGGCTGAACACGGCAAGAAGGGTGCAATGTATGGGGTCTGGAAGGGTTGTGCAGAAAGCAACACTTGATGCACGTGAGCTGAGGGATTAAATGAAGCCAGAATTGCTCAAGCAATGGCTGCAGAGCCCAGCTGGGATGCTGCAGAGCCCCACCAGCTTTCCCCCTCACCATTACCTTCCTCCCTGCCTCGTTGTTGTGGAGGTTCATTAATGCTCTGTTGGAAGAGGCCCCTTTGCTCCTCTCGCGGACATCGACGAAGGACTGCGAGAAGGCCACGCCGTAGGCGATGTTATCGGAGCAGCCCGACCACTGGAAGCCTAAGGCAGAGAGCATGGATGAGACAGATGCAGCCAGGCTGTTTTCTCATCCTGTCCAGCCCTGCTCTTCCTAAAATACAGCTGACCTTGCCCCTCTTCTGTCTTGCTGCCCACTTGTGGGGCTGCTTAGGGGACTGGGGAAGCTGGGGAGTATGGCTCTGGGGGACACACGGAGAAGATGCTTTCTCTGCCCCATGGCAATGCTCCCAGGTGCTTTTTTGACGGATGTAAGTGGACTAACAGACTAGCAGGAGGTGCGTTTTTTTAAAAACTTTCTCCTCCTTTCTGGGTGGCTTCAGAAATCGAGCATTTCTATGCTTGGCTATTTTGCATCCCCACTTGGTTGCCCCCATTTTGCATGCTCACCCTGCGGGCTGCCCCCTTGCACCGTGCGGTCACATCCACACTTGTCCAGCTCGCCGCTGCTGCAGGCTCGGGTCACTGCGAAGGCTACCCCTGCCGAAGAGATGGCATAGACGAATGCTGCTTCCCGTGTCCCTGCAACAGCACAAATGATGGTGGGAAACGTGGCAGCAAGTCCAATGCACATGAGAGGGCTTTCTGGAGGGGTGCAGCCAGGTTGCCAAAGGCTCTTGGTGGGCTGTTTTGTGTGTCTCTGCTCCTCTTCCCTCCTAATGCTGGTGTTGCACATAAATCCCCTTGAAAAACTGGCTCTTGGCAAAACATGCTATGCAGACCCATTGAGTCAAGCCCATTGCTCTGTCTCTTTGTGCTGGGTTTGTGTGGTGGGGTTTTTGGTGGTGGGAGAAGGGGCTACAGCAGCGGCCCCTGTGAGAAGCTTCTTGAAGCTCCCCCAGCTCCAAGTCGGACCCACCTCTGGCCAAGGCCAGGCCAGTTAGTGATGGTGGCTGTGCTCTGTGATAACGTATTTAAGGAGGGGAACCTGGCAGGAGGAGTGGGAGTTGTGAGAAGTTAGGAAAGGACACCTGTGTGAACACCAAGGTCAGTAGGAGGGAGGGAGGGAGGGGTGCCAGAGCTGGACCCCCCTGTATCCCGGGGTGAGATGGCAGGGCCCCACCACCCATGGAGGTCTGCAGTGGAGCAGACCTGACCTGCAGCCTGGGCAGGACCCCACAGCGGAGCAGGTGGCTGTGCCTGAAGAAGGCCAGGACTCTGAGGGGAGAAGCAGCCCCTGCTGTTGTAGTTCAGTGCTGGGCGGATTGAAACACATGGGGGTGACCCGTGCTGGAGCAGCATGGGAATGGCTGTATCCCGTGGGAAGGACTCATGCTGGAGGAAGGTTGTGGAGAACCATGTCCCATGAGAGGGACACGGTGCTGGAGCAGGCGAGACTGCAAGAAGACCTCCCCCCGAGGTAGAAGGAGTGGTGGGACTGACTGCACCCCCCATTCCTTGCCCCTGCACTGCTGGGGAGGAGGAGGTAGCGAGATCGGGAACAAAGCTGAGCCTGGGAAGAAGGCAGGGGTGGGGGGAGGTGTTTTTAAGATGTGGTAACCCTTCTCACTGTCCTGCTCTGTCTGTAGTTGTTGTTAGTGTGAATTAATGTTCTTTTTCTTCCCCTAACAAATCTGTCTTTTGCCCGAGACCATAATGGGTGAGCCTCCCTAGTTCCTGAGCCTTTTGCTTTATTTTCTCCTTGCCATTCCTGCCTGGGAAGGGGTAAGTGAATGGCAGTGTGGTGCTCAGTTGCCCTCTGGGCTCAAATCACGACAGTCTTCCTCCCGAGATAGGGTACCCCATGCAAGACACTCATCCTCCCCACTCCCACAGATGCTGTTTGTTTAGTGCCAAGCCTGGACCAGTCTCAGCAGAGACACCTCAGCACTGGGAGATCACTGGCAGCAGTAAGAGCTCTGTCTCACAATAGTGAAGGAGCTGGGAACTGCCCCACAAGGTTAAAAACATGAATGGGATGGACAAATTATAACTTGGCAAGAAGGGAGCTACAAAGGTTGTATTGCCAGTGTGGGGAGAGGTCTCCAGAGCTTATATGGAGAGACTATCTTGCCTGGTGTTTGCAGGGCACCTCTGCCATGAAATCCCTCCTGCATCCAAAATAGTTGGGCTGCTTTTCACATCCAGGAACACCCCCTGCAGCTGCAGATCCTTGCCATCCTCTCACACAGGGTCCTGTAGCTCTCAGCACCTCCCAGACTAACCTGCAAAACCTCGCTCTGCTCCCAGAGCACCTTGCAAAACCATGCTGGTCCCCAAGGTGCAGCCCCTTCCCAGCTCTTGCGTCTACCTTAGGTGGGGCCACACGGTTAGGAAGAGCTTGTTTGGGAAGTCGGGACATCTCTGGGCAGAAAGACACAGGGCAGCATGGCCAGGGAGCAGCTCTTGCAACACCCAAATCCCCACCGTCCTCCAAGGCTGGTTGAGGACACGGCTCCTCTGTCTCTGAGCGAGGGTTGGCATTTGGGGTAGTCCCGTGCTTGGGGTAGAAGAAGGGGGATGGCTTGTGAGCAGACATCACCCCAGCTTGCCAGCTGCACAGAGGACAGCTACTTTGGTGGTCGCAGCCCAGACTTTGGTGGCCCAGCTGTAATCTGGCCCAGGCAGCAGTGGCTGGGGAGGACCCAGCCAGCGTGGGGACTGAACCGTCTCCAAGTTAATCGAGGTTAATAGTAGGATCATGTTGGTCGGTTTGTGCTGTGGCTGCCTAAAAAGAGACGACTTTTAGTTTCTGGTATTTCTGGTATTTCCAGTCCCTGAACCTTCACAAGAAGAGATCTTCACCCCTGTGTTGAGGGGAGGAAAGTCAAACAAGGAGCCGGGGCTGGGGGGAGGCTTCAGTCTATGGGTCCTGGGATGGGAAGTGAGAGGGTGCATCAGTGGCACCTGAGGGGAGGCAGGGCCGCTTCGGTGGTCTCCAAGGCTTGCAGAGGGGCTTTCCTCTCGGTCTCCTCACCCCGATGCTCTGGGTCCTTGCTTGGTTTGATCACAGCCCTGTGCTGTGGGACGCCTGCCTGCAGCTGGGATCAGAGGGGCTGGGGGCTGCCCTGGCCATAAATCGCCCCTGAAGGCTGGCAGCTGGGTGGTGGCGGGTGATGATGCTGTCCTTGGAGGGTCCAGCTGCCGCGTGTTTTACTCGCATCGGGCGGCAGAGGGCTGTCCTCCCAAGGTCTTGCCCACAGATGGCTCCACTCGAGAGCAGCACGCCAGGCTGGCAGCGGTCACCGCTTTGGTGCTGCCTGGAGAAGAGACTGAATACATGCAGCCACGGCTTCGTGGAGTGAAGCTCCTGGGCTTGGCGGGGAAGAGATCAGACAGCAGGGCGACTTTAGGGTCCCCGCTTGAACTTGGCATGTCCTTGTAAGGTCCAGGCTCTCAGGATGCCCTGGGCTGGTGCCTCCATGCGGCGGGCACCCGCTGGGTGTGAAAAAGGTTCGGGAGAGGGAGCACCCAGCAGCTGAGGAATTGCAAGGGTCTGGATATGCTGCCCCCAATACAGTCCAAAGAGCCCTGCTGACATGCCCAGGGAAGACCCGTCAGCCCCAAGATTCAGCACTGGGTCATTCCCTGCTCTCTCCAGCCACTGGCTCAGGGGCCAGCAAACAAAACCCGCCTGCAGCCCACCGGCCTGCTGTTGTAGCCATTCCCCCGTGCAGCGTCACCCTAAGGACACGTCCTCCCAGCTCACCTTGTGTTACCACCTTGCCAAAGACGGGCAGGGTGTCCAGCGTGGAGCAGTTCCAGCGGCGGTTGCGGAACTGGTACTGGCACTCCTCGATGGCCAGCTGGGCCCCACGCCGCACTGAGTCCATCACCTCCAGGTTCCTCTTGCACATCTGCACCTGGCGCTGGATCAGGCCCTTCAGTTTCTCGCAGGTCTCCTCCTCGGAGATGCTCCCCACGGAAGACAGCTTTGCCAGGTACCTGCCGCAACAGCCAGCACAACTGGTTAGGAGGCAAGGGGTGGGGGAGCACCAGCCCATGTTCAGCTGGGACAGCCCACGCTGCAGACAGTGAGGAGAGCTTCTCTCCTCCCCTCCACAGCAGAGGCTGGTGCCCATCTGGGGGGTCACCTTAAATGTGCCACCGCGGTGGCTCCGCAGGATGCGTTTCTGGCCAGCAGAGAGCAAGCCCAAGCAGAACAGCCATCCCTCTGCAGCCTGGTTGCCTGTCTCTTGGGGAGCCCAGCTGCTGGCTCCCCTTTGCCTCTATTGCCTGCAAGGAAGATATTTTCGGTGTTGTCTGAATGTGCCCGGTCAGGTCTCCTGAGTACCGGCACATCCAAGTGCTACTAGGAAAAGCCAGAGGTCTCTGAAGTCAGCCAAAACAAGCAGGACAGGCACTTGGCTGCCAGCTCCAGCTGCCACACTGCTCCTGCAGCATGGCTATGTGCTCATCACCGACAAACATCACCCTCCAAACCACTTCCCTTCTGGAGCCTGCTTTTAGCTCCCCCGGCCCCCAGTAGGCAAGGAGGGCCTCGGGCAGCTGCCAGGTTTCCTGTCACTTGGTATTCAAGCAAGGGAATTGAAGTTGGGAAGACAGAGTCAGGAGCCTGCCGTGGACAAAACCGCAGATGCTGGGCACCTCCTTCAGCAGCTTGGCTTGTGAACATGTCCGTGAGGTCTTTGCTGACCTGGAAAAGACTGGCCCAGCATGGAGGTGACCACACGCTCTGCTTTCCATCACCCCATTCTCAGCAGAAAGAGTTACAGAGCTGCTCTTGAGTGTCAGCATTAGGGTAAAGGGGAGAAAGCACCCCGCAAGCTCTTGGCATCACGGGCACGATGGTCCATCCTGCACATCCCAGTAACCCACCGTGCCCTGCATGTTTGCCCATGCCCCAGCTTAAAATCCCTGAAGGATTTTAAAATAGACCCACACAGCTCGGTCAGGCTGTTGGATAATCTCAGAGCCTCTATCTGTGCCCGTGCCAGAATGTGCTTGTTGAGACTCCTTCCTTCCCACAGCTGCTGGCTCCCGGTTTAAGTGACACTGCCACCGGTGGAGCCCTGTCCTGCCACAGAGCAGGGGTATCCCCTGCACTGGACAGGCAAAACTCATGCTTTCACCCGCTGACCACACCGGGCTTTAACGTCCCCGGGAATTGCCAGTGTCAGCTCACGTTGCTACCTCATCTGCACCAAGAGATGTGAGTACCAAGCAAAGGCTTTCTGGAAACCTCATTCCTTGACTCTGCATTTCCCAGCCCTACAGAGCTTGTGGGTTTTTTTGTTTGCTTGTTTTTTTCCTCCTCCTCCCAAGTTGCGACATCCTGCTAAGGATTTTTCCTTTGAAGCACTGCTCGCCTCCGAGAAGTGACTGTGCAAAAGTGACTCCTGCTCCCTGCCTGTTCCCATGTGTACCAAGAACCAGATCTGCTGACTTCAGCCACAAAATCAAGTTGTCACAGCCTCTTCCTCCCATTAGCCCTGCCAGTCTGCCCCAGGAGGAGAGAACAGGATTTTCTCTTCTGTGCATCAGCAGAATTATTCACCAGCTCGGTTTCACGCTTACAACTGGGGGGCCGTGGGAGATGGTGAGAAAGCTGGCTTGGCTTGCAGCGTCCGTGGGGAGTCTGCATGGCGAGCTGTCAGAAGCATTCAGCTTTCCTTGTGCGTGGAGATCACTTGATGCAATGCCTCTCGGACAGTGGGAAGTGGCAGTCTGCCGTGGTTTCAGAGCCAAGTTTTTTCCTAGCCTTTATACCAGCTAAGCATCTTTGCCCAAGGCTTTCTGCTCCTCTGAGGGCACAGCCCTGTTTGCAGAGGACCAGCCATGCACATGGCTGTCTTACAAATCCCACCGTGGACAAACCCAGGACGGGCCCCCACACCATGCAGTGAGTGTCCCCACGCTGAGGTCCCGGACACGGGGTGCAGCAATTGATGTTCCTGCATCTCGCTGCACTTGGCTGACCCAGGATGAAGGCAGCAAACCACCCCTGGGGACTGTGAGGATGTTTGATGCTGAGCAAACTTGGAGTGATTGTGACAGCTCTGTCCCCTTCCAGCTCCAGCCATCATTTTGGTTTGGGCATGGGGAAGCTGACACACAGCAGAGCAGTGAGATTCACCCCAAGACACCATGGGTTGGTTGATCAGCTTTGAGCCTGGAAGCCAAGGAAACCAGATTCAGCCTCCAGTACTAACCCTTTGTGCTGCTTTGGCTTTCCCCCCACTCTTGCAACTTAAGCAGCATTTATCATACCAGGGAACCAGCTCCTGCAAAGCAGCACAGCCGGTCCTGCCGTTGAGTCAGTGCCCAGTCCAACTGCAGGCACCTTGGCAGGAGAGAGCTTTGCCGCAGGTGTAACAGTCCCATTAATATCAGCTCTGCCCAGGATGGGGGCATCACCTCCTTTTCTAATATATTTCCCAGCTAGGTGGGATTCTCCAGGCAATGCAGAGCTATAAATTCAAAGAACACATGCAGAAAAGCATGACAAGAGCCTTTCAAGCCTTTCCAAGTAGATGCGCCTGATAAGATGCCTCCCCAACAAGCATTTAATGCTGTTTGGGATGCTAAAATGAAGGCCCAGGATGCTTCAAAGATAGCTACAACTCTCCAAGAACAGGTCTGGTAATTTGTTTTGCAAGGCAGGCAAATAAGATGAAGCTATCCAGAACAGTGCTCTGGCCTCTCCCCCACGGCAGGTCCTCTGTTCGCCATCATCCCTCCTCAGCACGTGCACGTCTGCCCCTCCCTGGGGATGGGGGAAACTGTGCCGAGAACACTGCAGCCCCAGACAGCCTGTTTGCTACCAGTCTCCTACATCCCATGAGCACCATCACTGCTTTCCAAAAACGTTTGTTTTTTTTTTGTTTGGGGGGGGAGGCTCCCATCTGGTCCCTGGTCCAGTAGGAATGCAAGGATGCAAGGAAGGACCTTTGCTGAAGGACCTCAGCTTTGATGCTTTCACATGGCATCTCTCCACACTCTATTCAGGGGCACCAGGCAGGAACATCTCACTCCCTTTCCCTTCTCTGGGCCTGCTGAAAGGCGAGATAAGAACTGGGAAACATGCTCTGCCCTCAGCACTCAAAGATGCTTCCACCCCACAACTCAGAGTGTTTCTCAGGGCTGTGGAGACCAAGCAAGGCACCAAACCCCTCTGCAGCATCCCACGGTCACCATGGAAACCTGGCTCTAGCACTGTAGGTTAATGAGGACCTTGTTGCAAACTTCCTTTTCCTGGACTGAGGTGGTAAAAACCACAAAGCCTTTGTCGATCTGTACACACAGCAAGAGGCACAACAGGAAGAATCCCAACAGTTCCTGACCTCTGCAAGGTCTCAGTGCAAATCTGCATCCTAATATCACATCTTCATTGCTGTGCAGTTGCACAGAGCTCTAGATTATGACTTAAGTCACATACAGCCTCAGAACAACCCTACTTGTGGAAAAAACCTGAAATAATGGCATATTTTCTTCCTTTTCCAAGATTGGGCAAAGAAAGTTTCAAGGGGTGAGCTGCCTCCCAAGCCATTTGTTCAAGTTTTGTCTTCTTGCTTCATCATGGCATTTATGTTTCTTTTTCCCTGCTTTTCTATCCAGGCAGCTCACTCACAGAACAAGCTCCCTTTTAATAAAAAAAGTCATTGATTTAACACAGAACTAAGGGAAAGCCGTTCCTCGTTTTTCCATCCATAGATCAAAACTGAAGCCCCGCAATTTAAGGAGCTGCAGTTGATCCACCCTGCAAGATGGCAAATAAGGAAACCTCAAATCCAGGGAGCTTTGAAAAGGCAGGGAGGGGGGTCAGGGGAAAGCTCTACTTAAATAAAAATAACTATAATAATTTCAGGAAGAAGAGTAATTGGTGGAATTACAAGAAGACACTGGAAGAGCCTCAGTGGTTGGGAGATAGAGCCAGAAGGAGAGGGGAGGAGATTCCCTGCCATGGGAAGGTGTGGAAATTTGAGTAATTGACAAATTCTTAATAGAGGCGGGTCAGGGAACATGTAGCAGATGTCTTGGCAAAAGCAGAAGTTTTTGGTGTTTCTTTTATTTAAACAAATGAGTTTCAAGTGTGAGAACTCCTTGTATTGTCTCATTTTGGGACTATTTTTTCTGAAGATGATAACAGTCAGACCCAGGCATCACTGATAGATCACTTAGAGATGCTGAGAAGTCAGATGAGCTCAGAAGCTTCACCCTGTTCAGCAAACACTCAACCTGCCTGGGATACCTTCCTTGGCCAAGGCCACAAAAGGCTTGTTCAAGTCTAAATTTGCAAAGATGCTTCAGCTCCGCTCCTCTCAGAGGCAGACTCTGCAAACATCTTCCCTACTTGTGGAGGAACACAGCCAGCCTGGATCAGCGGCGCATCTCAGTGCCTCTTGAGGCTGGACGTATGGTCAGCCAGTGACTCAGGGTCATGCTTAGGATTGAGACTGCCTTGTGCAGACGGGTTTCTTCTGAGAAAGAAAAAAAGGCTTGTTTAGGGCAGAAAAAACGAAAGTGCATGAAGATAAGACAGATGCATGCAGACAGAGGTAGTGACCAGGCACCGCAAGGAGCCATCCTGTAGCTGTGGAGAAGGGGATCTCTTTTCCTTGTTGCTTATCCCTTGAAGCAGAGAGAAGGCATGGGGAGATGTCATAGGGTTGGCAGGTCAAAGGATGCTCTAGGTGAGGTAGAGAACCCTTGTGCTTTCTCGTGGTGTCACATGCTGGGCTGAGTACCACTCTCCCTGTGCCAACAGGGCCAGGCTCGTAGGTACCACCCACATCCTTGGCATGGTTCAGCAGGTCTGACAGCCCGGGCACATTCCTGTCAGGATCTGCCGGGGACCTGCAACTGGCAAGGTTGCTCTTATCCAGCTGATGGCTCTGCAGCAGGACGTGTCCCTCCCAGAGGCCAGGCACCCCCTCCTGGGTTTAGATACCCTGCCTTTATCCTTTTTAAAGTGTAAA